GGCGGGACGGGGCGGCCCCGCGGCGCCCCCCCCAGCGCGCCGCCTTCCCTTTGCCCCCCAGGTGCACGAGGCGTCCCCGCAAGGCTCCGAGTCGTCGCCGGCCGCCAGCTCGGGCTACGAGTCCTCCACGCCGCCGGGGCTCGTGTCGCCGAGCGCCGAGTCGCAGAGCACGAGCAACCTCTCGCCCGCGGCGGCGGCGGCGGCGGCGGCGGCGGCGGCGGCGGCCGTGTCTGCCGTGCACCGGGGCAGCGGCAGCGGCAGCGGCGGCGGCGGCCACAGCGGCCTCTCCTCCAACTTCAACGAGTGGTACGTGTAGGCACCGCGCCGCCCCGGCCCGCAGCAGCGCGAGGAGGAGGAGGAGGAGGAAGGAGGAGGAAGCAGCGCGCCCCGCCGCACCGCGCCCGCTCGCCCGCAGCGAAACGGGGGCCACGCAGTGCCGGGCACCGGGGAGTGGTTGGTTTTCTGCACCCTCCCTCCCTCCACCAGCTTCGGGCTCTTTTTTTTTTTTTTTTTTTTTTTGGTCGCTTTTCTATTATTATTGCTACCGTTGTTTTTGAAAACGTTTTTTAACCAGCAAGAACAAGAAAAGAACAAAAGAAAACACTACATCTTTTTCTATAAAAGTACCTGCTGAAAATAATAATTATATATATATATATAAAAGGAACAAGTCAATAAATTGTGGAATGGAAAAGAGGAAAACAAACCGCCACCAAATGTAAAACAAAAAGACAAGAGAAAGAAAAACGAAAGGAAAGAAAAAAAAAAAAAGGAAAACATCCACACCCAGAAAAAAAAAAGAGAAAAAAAAAGAAAAGGGAAAAAAAAAATAAAGCAGCTCTCGAGCCGGCGGAAAGCGCCTCTCCTTGCAGAGCCTCCAGACAAAAGATCAGAGACTGCAGCTCCTCCCGCCCGGAGCCCCGCGCCCAGGACTGTTGTACATAGCGGCCGCTGCCCCCGCCGAGCGGCCACCAACTCCTCTCGGAACCTCGGTGTAGAGAAGTTCGTCCCGTTTGTAACCTGCGGATTGGTCCCTGCTCCTCCTTCTTTTTTTTTTTTTTTTTTTTCCTTCCTCCTCCAAAAAAAAAAAAAAAAAAAAAGTGATGGATTTTTTTACCTTCCTCTCCCACCACCTCTCTCAAATCCGTGTGTTTTTTTTTAGTTCGCCCCTTAAGGAAAAGTAACGTGGAAGAAAAAAAAAAAAGGTTTCTTTTGTAATTGTGATATCTTGAATATTGTGTTCCTTTCTAAGAGGCAACTTGATTGTAAAACTGCATTTCAACTATAGACTGGGAAGAAATACCGTGCCAAAGTCTCCATTCTGTTACACACACACGAACAACAACGCTTGTGAATGTATTTTTTCTGTTAGCTGGGTTTACATGTGATGTTTTAGTGCTTTTGCAAGTTCAATTTGTTAGTTCCTGTTCGGAAGATTGTGAGGAAAAATAAACGTTGTGCCGTTAGCTTTTTTTCCGTAATAACACCCTTCCTTCTGTAAATACCTGTTACCATATTTATCCATTTGTAATTAAATTATGGTATTAACTTGCTACAGAGGAAACAGTATTTATAAAGAATGTTTCTTAACTATAAATATGTACAATTGTGAGCATAAACTGTTTCAGATTTTTTATTTGAAGGTTTAAGTGGTTTCATCATTTCTTGTGATATGTTTTGAGAGTAATGCATACAGAAATATAATAAAAACGTGTTGAAACTGCACGGGCTGCTTCCTTCTTACGCCAAAGGCTCCCCGAAAGCCGGYGCAATGCGAGGCAGCCGGGGCAGGGTGCGAAGCCTTGCATCGTTTGGGGGAATCAGYCGGCTCCTCCTGGGACACGAAGGTCTCCTACAACTCTCCTCTCGTCCCCTGCGCCTGCACGTCGGGAAAAGAGTCATATTTCGGGAGCTAAAAAAAAATACAAGAGATAACGGGACGGTATTTGCATGCTTCGCATTGCTTGCGCGGAAGGAGAAAGGCTTTTTTGCTCCAGAATACATTTATTATTATTATTATTATTATTATTATTATTATTATTATTATTATTATTATTATTATTATTATTATTAATTTCCGCTCCAAGCGCTTGGCTGCCGTGTGCGGTGGCTGAGGAGGTGACAGAGCGGGACACCTCGGCTTGGGGTGGCCTGGACTTGGCCTCCTCAGGCTGCCTTTCCTACCGAAGCCTCCTCCTCCTCGCAGATAGACACATTTAATTTGATGCCTTTAGTGTATATATATGTACACACATATTCACTTTGATGCCTCCGTCCCGGCAGTGACAACGTGTGATAGCTCCAATTCCCCTCTGTTTTTTCTTCTTATTTCAATACAAACAAACAAAAAAATGACGAGCTTTGGCGTTTCAGGCGTGCCGAGCGGGTCCCCCGCTGGACAAGCGGCCTGAGGCCGCCCCGCGGGGCCGTCGGGGGCCGCCGTCGCGTTTCGAGTGGGCAGAGGCAGCTTC